GGCGGTGCCAGGTGCCAGCCGCTACCCGCCGCTCACCTCCCACGTGAATCCAGTGCCTGGAAGCGGCGTCTCCGCCCGCGGGGGCTCTAAACTACAAGTCCCAGAAAGCCGCGGGCGGGCCACGGACACTTCCGGTGTACACTTCCGGTGCCCGTCCCCTGCTCCCCCGGCTTCCCGGGCACTGCGTGGGGGTGCCTGGGTTCCTGCTTCCAGCGGACTGCTTTTAACTGTTCTTTGAGAGTTCATTTACGTTATTATTATTTTTAAATTACAAACGGGTAAGAATTATTTTAGAAATGCCCATTAAAGTGTTTTTCACATTTTGTTAATGTGCTCCTGGGGGAAAAGAACATAAATATCACCCGTAATTTCGTCTTTACCTGTAAAAATATTCTGAACCGAATAAATGCCATTCGGCATCTTCATCTGCCTCTTGAAGTTCATTAGTTTAGCAAACATTTGAGGCCTCACTGTATTCTAGGAACTGTTAAAGACGCTTAAAGAAAAATCACTCTGGATGTTAGATAGTGGAAGAAACAAGCAATACGTAATTTTGATAAAGAAGTGGTATAGTGTGTTATAAGGTGACATGTGTTATGGAGAAAGTAGAGCTGAGTCGGGGATTGAGGGATGGTAGTGCAATTTTAAATAGAAACTTTTGGAGCCAAGACTTTGAGGAAATGAAGGAATCAGTAATGTGCCATTCAGCAGTCACAAGTCTTTCCAGGATTTTTTAGTTATAGGAGGGAGGACTTGGGAGAAATGGGGCTATTCCATTTGGCTGAAACCAGAAGTCCCTGTTTTAAATTTTGACCTATTCATATGATGGTCGTTGGCGCCAATTCAATGCCAACTGGATTCCGGATTCCCCAACTTGGGGTGCGTGAGGAAAGAAACTATTCAGTGCAAAACAGCTCAATTGTGATAAAGCACAACTGTGAAAACACGGGGGCTGTGCAGCATCCCTGGGGCCAGGTGGCTCTGGGACCAGGCCCTTCTGTGACTGGGCAGCTATACTCTGCTCCTTGATGGTCTGTTCTGCTCCCTGCCAGCCTGCTTTGCTAAGCTGGGGACTTTTGGTGGGGCTCTGGTGCAGGCTAAGTCCAGCTGCTGCTTTTCCTGGCCAGGGACCTCCTGGTAGGAGCTGTAAAGTGATTTGTGGTTGGTTGCTGCCTGTGCTGGGCTTGGAAGTACTGGGAGAGGCTGTGCTATGATCTGATGCTGGCTCCCGTCTGTGCCGGACTCGGGGCTGCTTAGCAAGAGGCCCTGGGCGTGCTGAGGCCAACTGCTGCTTGTCGGGCTTTGTGGATTTGGGGGAGATTGTAGGAATGTCTGCAGCCTGGGGCAAGGCTGGCTGCTCGTGTGGAAAAGCCCCTGAAGTTGGTTTAGGCTTGTATGTGATTTGGGTGGGGCAGTGTCTGCAAATCACCAGTGTTAACTAGGTTGATGGAGATGCAGATTTGGTGCCTGCCTTCACCTGCAGGTGGATGTGGGGAGCTCTCCACAAAGGAATAATGGTGCCTTCCAGCACTTCCTCTGCACCTCCCAGGCTATGTGTGGGGCTGCTCAACAATGGACAGTGGTGCCTAACAGCCCTTCTGTCCAGGAGAGAGCTGCCCCTCTAGCCCTCCCCTGAAGCCAGATGATTCAGTTCCTCCATGTATGTCCCTGGTACTTTGCTGGTCCTTTACTGGAGCTTAGGGCTTGTGTTTATGAATGAGTGTTTGCTCTGACCCTTTAAGACAGTGGTTCTCAACCTTCCTAATGCCGTGACCCTTTAATACAGTTCCTCATGTTGTGATGACCCCCAATTTCATTGTTACAAATTGAACATAATTAAAGCATAGTGATTAATCACAAAACAATATGTAATTATATATGTTTTCCGATGGTCTTAGGCGAACCCTGTGAAAGGGTCGTTCGACCCCCAAAGGGGTCTCGACCCACAGGTTGAGAACCGCTGCTTCAAGAGAAAACTCGAATCTACAGCAGCCCTCTGTCTTACCAGAATAGAATCCCTGCTGACTTTTCACAGAAATTGTGGGGACTCCTCTTCCTGGACCTAGTGCTCTGGACTGGGAAGCCCAGTGTGGGGTTGGAACCCCTTGCTCCTCAGGGTGGACCTCCATAGCTGAGATATCCTTCCTAATCCTTAACCTCCACAGGTGGCTTTGGGATCAGCCTGTTTCACGGCTCCACTCCTCCCTCCAGTCTTAAAGTTGCTTCTTTCTACTCTTAGAGCAATTCTGTCAAGCTAATCTTCAGGTGGTTCTCAAGAGTGGTGGTTCTATAATTTAGTTGTAATTTTGATGTGATCGTGAGTAGTGTTTCCCTATCCTGTCATCATGACCGGAAATCCTCATTATTCATTATTTTAATGACACAAATATTCACCATGAAATTCATATAGGTGGCTAAAATTAATAAAAAAGGAAATTCCTCCCCAAAGCCAATTTCTTTCCTCTAATAACATTCAATTCTCATCTACTAAAAAATATCTATATATTAGAGTGTATTATCCTTCCAAGTTTCTTCATTTGTGTTTCTGTGTGTGTGTAGGAGGAAGAGGATAGTATTGTTGGAGGGCTGGACCTTCACTATTGACTACAAATCTGGGCTCAGTAATAAGGACAGTTGTATCCTTTCTAGGTGATTTCAACCCTGAGATACTACTATTGTCAAAAAGGGAGTGGATGGCATTGTGTCTCCTAGGGAGGAGTCATTTTAATAGAGGGCATGATAATAGTCTTAAGATTCTCAAAAAATTTCAGTTTTCTGCTCTTTGGGTATAAGCAAATTATTTCTATCTTTGTTAGCCCTGGAGGATTGAAGTGAATCAGTACACAGACTTCAAATATTTGCAGGGGGAGAAAGGAACCTTCTTTTTTAAGGAAAGGTTAGGGCTTCTGCTGTGGACATGGGTGATTAGACTTGGTTTTTGAGAAAGGGTATCACCCAGTTAATATAGTGTTCGATAAGAGTATTATTAAAGTAGTTAGATTTGCCTCATGATTTCTGCCCAGTAGTCTTAAATGCAAAACAAGATTAATTTGAATATACAGGGAAGAAAAGAACCTTGGCATTGACAAAGGCTATTTATTTATTTATTTATTTAAAGGCTGATAGTATCAACTAAAAACTTGAAATTTGTATCTGCCACACACAGAACAATCTCCAAGTGTGCACTACATTAACGGAAGTACCTTGGGAAATTAGGTCAAAATAAACTGAGAGAAACTATGAAACAAACATGATAATGATAATAAACAAGACATTTATTTTTCATACTTATTTGGAAGAAATGGGAAAAGTCAGTTTGCCCTACCTAATGATAGTCTTTCTGAAAGAGTCTCCATTCACTCCATAGAATTGGGTAGGTGGCTTGATCTCAGAAGATTTTGTAGTTAATTAATAAAGAGAATTCCTGTTGAAGAATGTGGTCAAAGGGTGAGTCTTTGTGAGCAGCTTCGCTGGTGCACAGCCAGACTCCCTCTCTGAGTGAAGCTTTTCCCACATTGGCCACATAGATATGGTGTCTCTCCTGTGTGGATTTTGCCATGCAGGATGCAATTTCCTCTGGTATGGAAACTCTTTCTGCACTGTACACAGGCATATGGTTTCAGGCCTGTGTGGACCCTGATGTGGACAATTAAGCTTCCTTTCTGACTGAAGGCTTTTCCACACTGATCACATCTATAGGGTTTCTCGCCACTGTGAACTCTTCTATGAACAGCAAGGTTACTCTGATTCCTGAAACTTCTCTGACAAATTGCACACTCGTAGGGTTTCTGTCCAGTGTGGAGTCTTTCATGAACAGCCAGACTACCTCGTTGACTAAAACTTTTCCCACACTCCTTGCACTGATAAGGCTTCTCTCCTGTGTGTATTCGCTGATGTGTAACAAGATTGCCTTTGGCCCTGAAGCTTTTTCCACAATGGGTACACTCAAAGGGCTTTTGACCAGTGTGGATTCTCTCATGTAACGTTAGGCTACCCTTTTGCCTGAAGGATTTCCCACATTCCTGGCACTCATAGACCCTCTGTCTCACACCAGGTGAATCTTCCTGTAGTGCCTTAAAATCTGGGGATTTTTGTTCCAGCTTCTCTCTTCTCAAAGAACTCTGGAAGTCCCAGCTTGAGGATCCTGTGGCCTCAGTGTGATCATATTTGTGGTGGGCTTCTGTCATCACATCTGGTAAAATGAGAGGGAAGCCAGGTAAGATGCACTAATATGCTGAGTGAGAAGAATAGGAAAGAAAGAAACAATGCTTTGTTGAGTGCTTATTATGTGCCAGACATTACACAGTGAACTTTGCACAGATAATTTAACACTGAAAACAATCCTGTGAGATGCTACAGACAAGGGTATGAAAGCATAGAGAGGTTGTCAAAGATTATGCATTTAGGTTAGCATAGAGCTGAGATTCAAACACAGGCATACTCCACTGCCTCTGTATTTTGTTTAATTTAGCCTCCCAAATAATCTTGTGATACAGGATCACATAGAGCCCCATATCCAAATTTTATCTGACTTTAAACAGGTGAGGATCCAGGTTGGGCAGGGCCTAAAGCTTTAAAATTTTGGAGGCACTTCATTAGGAGAAAGTACAAAAGTGGGAACAGGGCCTTGAAGAGACCATGCAAGAGAGGAATCCTGAAACTTAGATTTCATTAGCTTTCATGAAAAATCCACTTCTGCACTAGTCTGCTTTCCTGACAGTGGAGTAAACTCCATGACGTCAGAAAATATGTAGTAGAATACTTGGTACTTTTAAAAAATATATATATTTATTGATTTTTGAGAGAGAGAGAGAGAGAGCGAGAGAGAGAAGAAGGGAGAGGGATAGAGAGAGAAACCTGTATGAGAGAGAAACATCGTCATCAATCGGCTGCCTCCTGCACCCCCCACCCCCACAGGGGATCGAGCCTACAACCCAAGCATGTGCCCTGATGGGGAATTGAATTGGAAGCCTCTTGGTTCCTGGCTCTATGCTCAACCTTTGAGCTACACCGGCAGGGAAGAATCCTTGGTACTTTACACTATTGTCTCTAATCCTTGCAACTCGGCAGGCAGGGTA